TAAGAATAAAAAAAATAAATTATTCGGGAATCTTTTAACATTTGCCAAGTCAATCGCTTAGCATACGCGAAAATAAATTGGATATGTAAACAAGTATGTGAAGGTTGTTGGGCCAGATGCCACACCTAATATTTTGTAGTTAGGCTATAGACACAACATTTGTGTTGATTCTGGCCAGACAGAAGTAAGCATCGTTAGCATAATTGATAACAGACGGTAACGAGGGGGCCATGTATATCAGGCTAGTTGCCTGGGAATTAAGCGAAAATGAAACGTCGGTTGTTTTGAAACTGGTCGTCCAGATAAGGAAAACACGAATTTGTTTGGTGTTTACATGACGGTCTGTTAAAGTTTTGGTGTGTTTTAAGGTGAGTTTTTTTGTGTTTTGTTATATAGCGGATTGTAAGCAAGTGTAGTTCTAAATTTAGCTAAGCTACGGGAATTTCCGTTTCATAATGCGTTATTAGACCGGTTTAAAATTGCGTTTGAGCTAAAGTGGTATGAAAAGTTGGGAAGCGGATAAGAGTTTACGATGCTTAAATTGTGGGCTAGTTCAGATTGTAGAAGATGATGTTCTTGAGAGAGGTGGTGTGGATGTTCTAGAAAGATGGTGATGTGGATGTTTTTGGGAGAGGTAGTGTAATTGTTTTTGGGAGAGGTAGTGTGGATGTTTTTGGGAGAGGCAATGTGGATGTTTTTGGGAGAGGTGATGCGCATGTTTGCAGAAGAATTGACGTAAACAGTGGCGTAGCCAGGATCGTCTCAAGGGGGGGGGGGGGTCCAATTTTTACCCGGGGACAAACTTTCGATTTGCACCCCCCCCCCTCAAACTTTCGATTTGCACCCCCCTCAAACTTTCTATTTGCACCCCCCCCCCTCAAACTTTCTATTTGCACCCCCCCCCTCAAACTTTCGATTTGCACCCCCCCCCCTCATACTTTTTCTATATACCGAGGGGTCTATGGGGGGGGGGTTATGACCCCCCCTAACCCCCCCCCCTGCCTACGCCACTGGACGTAAATGTTTGGTGATGAGGTAATGAGCGACAATTAACAAGTTAATTAAACATTTTGTATTCTTCCATTGCTACATATTTTTCACTTCAGTGTTTTGGAGATAAAGGAGTTATAGATCTTATGGCCAAATTTAGCGTACCGGAGAATCTTGTAGGGTTTATGGAGGGGATGTGATATCAGGGTTCAGTGGGGTTGCCACATAGATGGTTTTTTTTTGGGGGGAGGGGTTGCTAGTTCATGGGTCTTTTGAGTCTAGTTAGGGGTTGGATATTTTGAGTCTGGTAAGGGGTTGGATATTTTGAGTCTAGTAAGGGGTTGGATATTTTGAGTCTGGTAAGGGGTTGGGTATTTTGGGTCCGGTAAGGAAATGGGTCTTTTGAGTCTGGTAAGGACATGGGTCTTTTGTGGACGGTAAGAACATGGGTCTTTTGAGTCTGGTAAGGACATGGGTCTTTTGAGTCTGGTAAGGACATGGGTCTTTTGAGTCTGGTAAGGACATGGGTCTTTTGAATATGGTAAGATGGCTCTTTTGAGTATTGTGAGGACATAAGTAAATGGGTGTTTGAAGTCCGGTAATGATAAGGGTCTGGTACAATAGTATAAACATAGGTATTATGGGTTTGACGAAGACATGAGTATTATGCGTCTCATAAAGACACAGGTGTTTTGGGTCTCATAAAGACACGGGTCTGATAAAACCATGGTCTTTAAAATTTGGTAAGGGTCTTGTGGGTCAGATAAGGACAAGGATATTGTTACTCTTGTTAGGCCATGGGTCTTGTGACTCTGGTAAGTGCATGGGTCTTGTGACGCAGATAAGGAGTAGGGTGTTGTGACCGGTAAAGACATTGGTATTGTGACATTTTGGTAAAGACGCAGGTCTTATTACTCTGGTAACAAATTAAAGAAAAAAGGTTTTGCTATATATATATATATATATATATATATATATATATATATATATATATATATATATATATATATATATATAAACAAAAAGAAATAAAAACGGAATAACAACAACAACAAAACTACAAGAATAAAACAAAATAAGCAAGAAAAAAAAACTACCAAAAAACCAAGACAATGATTGACATTTTTGTCTAAATAGGTAACATTCCAGACAATGTTAGAAATTAATGTTAAAACAGCTAACAACCAAAACGTGTATTTATATCAAGCCGATCCCCCTTTCCCAAAACTACACCACAAAACCCCCTTACCGTCATACAACGAACTTTTTAAACCGGTGCCGGCACAGCCCAAGTAGATGTCAGACTGACATCCGGCAAACGCGAGCCTCACCAAGCGGAGACAACCGCTTGTCAGCCGGCTATTAACTCTGTCACTTAGACCCGTGTCGTGACAGTCCAAAGTCCAATTCTGACAGCATAATCCTACGGTAATGACTACTTGTAATGACTGCGGACAAAGTCGGTCCCGTCAGTCAGTCTTTAGAGATCGCGCACCGCGCTTTTGTCATTAAGACTTACCTCCCTTTTTTAACTATACTTATCTAGGAGTTATTTCCCTTGATTCTTGCAAGAATTTTCACCTTTTAGTACTATTAAATTGTACAAATAAAAAATAAATATTATTTTTCAGTATGGTTACTTGTATACGAAAACATCTTATTAGTTTTGTAATGCTAGCTTCTATTTAAAAATGATGGTAATAACATATTTCTATTTGCAGATTGATGATTTCATGCCCTTTTTATAATGTGTTTCGACATATTATCAAGTTGTATTGTCCTATTTTTTTCCAAGGTATATTATAACAGTATATTGAATAAAGCAGAAAAAATGCCACTTTTACTTCCACACTGGTGAGGTCACTGACGTGTTAATTAATAGTTTGAATGTAACCGTATGTAATGCGTTACAAACGTGTCTTCTCTATTTGATCTCGACTGTTCCCTCGCATCAATAGAAAGAGAAAAACAGAAGGCTGGATCGTTGCGTCTCAAGTCATTAATTAGAGGCGTCGTTAGCGTTTTATGTCATTAGACTTCGCGTCGTATTATTCAAACTTTGGATGACAACTCCACTGCCGTAGTTTAACAGTGCACCTAAATGTCAAATGACAACTTCACCGCCGTAGCTTGACATTGCAACGAAATGTCAAATGACAATTTTATCGCTGAAGCTTGACATTGCAACTAAATGTCATTTTCGTCAAAGTTTAAAAAAAAAATTCCTTTCGTCCTTGAACCTTGAAATTCATTAATCCATAACATTTTTTTAAATTTCATTTTTCTACAATGCCACCGTTTCTCCAACTTTATATACTGCAAATAATTTCAAACAAACCCTCTGTTGTTTTTTGTTATCTCCCCTTAATTTCCGCCGTGTTCTAAATTATCTCCCCTTTCTGTCAAGCGCCGGCTTTTTAACAATCGTGGGGTTCTTATTTCTTCATAAAAGTCTTCAACTTTTGTAATCATCCTAATGGATGGCCCCCTGGCTCCTCGTTACACCAACCGTTCCGACGTCCCGACACGTCGCCGGCAAGTCGTAACTAGGTATTGGCCGGCCACCGGAAAAGGGCGACAATTCAGTCAACCTTTGACCTATGACGTAAGGCGTGGCTGAAGGGAAACAACCTTGAAATTTGGAGTCTTTGTTTTTTTTTAAAGATGGATCGGCATACACAACTCGTGGAATAATATTTTTTAGGATTAAAAGACAAGGAACGCATTAATTAACCGTATTTTTTAATATGATTGCATGTATCAAGAAATACGTGAAAATGATTAACAATAACACAATTTCATAGAACTTACCGTATTTATACATTCTAATTTTAATGATTAGCTCTGTAAAGGAAGGTAACAAGCGAAATGTACCTAAAAGAGATAGAAATATATAAGAACATTTAAAAAAAATATTATCTAGCGAGTAGTTCGAGAGCTGTTGGAGAGTAATACGAGAGACTGGAAAATCGCAACCACAGAAGTACATGTTTGACACACTCAGACACACACTCACTCACTCACCCACCCCACACACGCGCGCGCACACACACACACTCACACACACACTCGCACGCACGTACGCACAAACCCACCCACACCCACACACCCATCCACACACATACGCACGCACGCACGCACACACACACACACACTCACCCACACACACACGCACACACACACTCACTCTCACACACCTTCTCACACACACGCTATGTGTAAATATATACACAATCATACAGTAATAGATATGTATACTAAAAAGCACTCGATACGTACCTTTGTTTTCACAAATTAACTAACATTGAGTAACTTTTAATAGGCCTATAACATTGTTTCTTCTTCCCACAAAATTCCGTTAGTAATTTAAACCAATGGTATAATTAAGATAAGTATATCTAATACTATCTTGAACTTCCGTAAATTCAATTTTTCGTCCGAGTATCCTTCCTACATCAATCGTAATGAGCGAAACCAAATTTGTTTTGAAATGGCCATTACAAACCAACAGGATGAATATGGAGATTAGATTTGTCGGCGTAGCTGTTTGATGGCTGGTTTAGGTATTCACAAGCACGAATGTAGATTTGCAGTTTCCCACGAGCGTTTACTCCAGGGGTTTAGGGTTCGTTGACATAGATCAGGGTTCTCCATCTGGGCTCAGGGTTTGTTGTCCGGGTTCAGGGTTTGTTGTCTGGGTTCAGGGTTTGTTATCTGGGTTCAGGGTTTGTTGTCTGGGTTCAGGGTTTGTTGTCTTGGTTCAGGGTTTGTATTCTGGGTTTAGGGTTTGTTATCTGGGTTCAGGGTTTGTTGTTTGGGTTCTAGGTATGATGTACTGTTAATGCATTCTTGGTATGTGTTTATGGTTCACTGCTTCGGGTTCGGTGTTGTCGGTTTCCGTTGTTTTATGGAAGCGACGGTTCAAGAAACTAAGTTTCATTTTAACAAGACTAGAAACCCAAACTTTCTTCCAAAGCACTGAAAATCCAATCGCTAAGCTTTAATCGGTGTTAAATGTAATCTATTTCCGCTTGATCACCCCTCACACCCCGTTCACTTCCGGTGACGGTGTACTTGTGGTGTGTACACCTGTACACCACGATCTCAAACACCAACACCAAAACACCAAAAGCTAACCCGGCAGCCGCGAAGTACACCGGAAGTTGAATCCGGTGAAAGGTCACGGCCTTGTTTTCGCTGAACTGACTACTATCACTTGACATCCGGTCCTTGGCAAAATAGGCCATTTTCAGTCTTGTAAAGATTCCCATTTCTTGGAAAGACAGAAGAAGATTTGACAACACTCCAGTGTAGAAAATATTCTTCGGGGTTGAAACGTACACGTTGTTTATTTCTTCAAAACCCCTTTGCGGATAGCTTCGGACATCTGGGTACGTTTTTACAGGCAACAAATCGAATTGTGTTTCGGAGATTAGCGCGTAGGAACCCTGAAGCACACGCTGAAGGTGGGAGTCTAAGACTGAGCTGAAAGTGGATGGGTCAGTTTTGTTGCGATCGACCATCCGTTTCCAGACCTGTTTGAGAGTTTTGTCTTCTGATGCCATGAGGAAAGTCTGCAAGGCAGTGTCATGGCTAACCATTCCAAATTTGTAGTCCGGGTGGTCCAGGAGCTGTTTGAAGGTTTTGATGCTCAGTTCCGGTGTCTTGACCGTGAAGGTGGTGACCAGGTAAGCGGAGTAGGCCGAGCTGAGGATGAACCAGAAGATGGCCCAGGATGTCCGGAGGATCAGGCCGGACTGGACTTTGTATTTTCTTTCGGTGTGGAAGCAGATGTGGTCAGGGAATGTGGTCAGTGACCTGAAACAGAGGAGGTCATGTAGTTAGTGACCTAAATAGAGAAGGTCATGTGGTCAGGGAATGTGGTCAGTGACCTAAATAGAGAAGGTCATGTGGTCAGTGAGCTGAAACAGGGGAGATCATGTGGTCAGTGACCTAAATAGAGAAGGTCATGTGGTCAGGGAATGTGGTCAGTGACCTAAATAGAGAAGGTCATGTGGTCAGTGAGCTGAAACAGGGGAGATCATGTGGTCAGTGACCTAAATAGAGAAGGTCATGTGGTCAGGGAATGTGGTCAGTGACCTAAATAGAGAAGGTCATGTGGTCAGTGAGCTGAAACAGGGGAGATCATGTGGTCAGTGACCTAAATAGAGAAGGTCATGTGGTCAGGGAATGTGGTCAGTGACCTGAAACAGAGGAGGTCATGTGGTCAGTGACCTAAATAGAAAAAGTCATGTGGTCAGTGACCTGAAAAAGTGGAGGTCATGTAGTCAGTGACCTAAAATGAGGTCATGTGGTCAATGACCTGAAACAGATGAGGTCATGTGGTCAGTGACCCCAATTGGTTGTGTTAATAATTGAACAAAATCCAAATTCTAAACACGGGTTTCCGCAATCGCTTTTAGGCGGAGATTGTCATTTGCTATGTTGGACTAATCTCACTGTTACTGTGGCTACTGATCATTCGTTGGTCAGTACATGGTCAAGACAAGTTTCCCCACCCCCCTCCCACCAATGTCATGTCCATCTCAATGAGTTAATCAGACCTTCGGAATGCTTAGAAACAAAGCAATAAAATCAAAATACGCAACCAATTTTAAAAAATTACTTCATTTTCTGTTTGGTGAATTCGCCAGGTGCAGACGAGTGGCATGATGACGTCAGCACGTGGATGACAGCACCCAGGGCACCAACAAACAGGAGCGGACCAATCAGGTAGAGGCAGAACTCGGGCTGGATGATGTCTAGGTAGGTCACGTCCACATAGGCGTCTTCAATGGGAAGTCTGGAAAAGGGGAAAGGCATTGCTTAGTTCAAGCTCATAGTATAGACGATACTCAGAGGCGTAGTGAGGGAGGGGGGACGGGGGGTGCGGACTGCACCGGGTGACACCATTTAGGGGGTGACACCAAGGCAAAAAAAAGCAAAATATATAGAGAAAAACTTGAGCGGGGGGGGGGGGTGGGGGTGCAAATCGAAAGCTCGAGGGGGGGGGTGCAAATCGAAAACTTGAAAGTTTGTCCCCGGGAAGGGTCGCTACGCCTCTGGGGATCAATACCATTAAGTGCCGCACCGGGTGACACCCGACCTCGCTACGCCACTGACAATACTTGAGAGTATTTTGTACATGTATTGGCTATATCACAAGAGGAGGGTGCGTGTGTGTGTGTTAACATGTTATACATATATTATCTATAAAGTTTATGTTTTTTATTATGTTAACAATTTTGGAAATGTTAACATAATGTAACAAAAGCGCACGGTCTCAAGTAACTGTAACGTGTTTTACGTAAAGTTATATTTAATGTCACATGTTATTTTAAATGTCCGTGTGTGTATGTGTGTGTAGGGTGGGGGTGTTCTAATGCTAACAAAACACCCGTCAAATTACGCCTTTATGTCGGAAGACAATAAACAATTGTTTGGCGAGTTAAAAAAATTAGCGGTGTAGAAAAAGATAGAGCACGATTGTCACTTGGAGCTGAATGGCTATAGGGCGAGTATTGTAAGATCTTTTCTTCTTTTAACTTCGACCTTATAAAAGTGTGGTGTCATCAACACTTGGCCCACATTTAAGAAGTATCCAGTTTTATTTGTGAACAATAATAAAATATTTATCGATTTTTAAAAAATCGATTTCGCCAATTACGGCTTATTAACATACAATGAAACAAAAACGCAGTATGAGACATTGTTATTTCAAAGCCTATATAAAACCATGAAATAGATTTGATTCGTTAAGAAAATGGAAGACTCCGTCACACAATGTATTGAAAATATTTTTACAGCAACAAACGCTTTTTTAAAACTTTAAAGACGCTTTATGTTTACATTCTTATTTTTAGTGCTTTTAAACCTTATCATTATACAGTCTTTCATACTTATTTAATGTCACATTAACTTTGTTAAACCGAGATTTTTTCTTAAGTCAACAACAATTGATACTCGTCCATACAACTATTTTTTTTGTAAAAAAAAACATTAAGGAAACTTGGTGGGATTTGAACCCGCGACCATCCTCTATCAGCCTAACCAACAAGCGTCTTTGCCACCCAGACCTGTATATGATAGTCACGTCCTCCACCGCTATGGGTATCATTATGAAATCGATCTGCCTGCTTCTGATGTCTGTCCGGCTCAACGGCATTGTTGATAGTGCCGCCTCTCTTCTGGCAAGCTGACCTGTAGAGATAAACGTTTCTGATTGGTCAATATGTTTGGACTGGGCGGCTTCCGGTTAGGCGGATGTGTACTTTTAAAAAAAAATACGGCATAGTTATTTATTGACTGGTCTCGCAGAGCTATATTAGCCAACTGGATTAAATGTGGTAAAATATTTCTTTTTAAATTGTAGTAAACGGTTCAACAATTTGCCTTCATGAATTTTACAATAACATTTATTACTTTTTATAAACTTTTTTTACAGGTATCAATCAATTCTAAGAAATTGTCTGTTTTCATCTTAGACTCTGAGAGTAATTTACGAAAACATTTACTTTTTTCCCCAGCTATATTTAATCCAAAGACTGACTCAGTTTAGAAAGTAATTAATTAAAAAGAACTCATTAACCACCCTGTCTTTTAAATCTGCATCGGCCAATGTTAAATCATGCACACCTTCTTATAGATCCTCCAAGAAAATTTGCATAGATGACGAAATGCAGGGTAACCAGATTCTTACCACCAACCTTCCAGTCCCACCTTGTCACGCTTATTCACAAAACGAATTCCCAACCTAATTAAAATAAATCACCAAGTTCCACCCAACTAAATTAAAATAACCATAATTCTAACACAATATTTTCATGTTTCATTTGTTCGATTAGTTTTTAGATCTACCAATGGACACCAGCGAGAAAAGTCTCAAAGGTATTTGAGAGGTGTATAAATTCATTTAAAAATCATGCACTGCGTAGTTACAATTAATATGGTTATAAAATCCTGTCTGTCTGGTTTTTTTCGGACTTTACTAAAGATTGGATGTATTTGATGTTTATAATATTTTCGGTAACTAAATAAAAATTAAAAAAAAAGCAAAAACAATTAGGTTTTCACGTGTAATGGCGACATAAACAATGGCATCCTGCTATTGGATAGGCCGCCATTGATTTTATTGTACACATTGTAAGCTAAAAATAGAAAACTAGGTCATGGGGTTTTAAATTTGCATTGTTATTTAAAAACTTGATCTGCAAAGTTTTGAAAACAAATAGTTATCGATCACTAAGTTACTCTACAGCCAATCAATATTTGTCTTACGAAAGTGAAACATCCGGTTATAACTTAGGCTTGATGAAAATAAATACAAATGTAGCCTTAAACTCAACAAATTATTTTCAAGTTCTCTGGATTTGCAACTTTTATAGCATTTATTCTAAAAATATAAAATTTCTAAATTAATTTTAGGCTTAAGTTTTTATTTTTTTGTACGGTCTAAATCTAAAAAGCACGTTTTTATTCCATGTCAACAACATTATGGAAGGAATCTCGTCAACTCGCTCGCCTCCATTATAAGTGACCTCACATTCCCCCAACCCCACCACCCATCTCTATCCCACAATACATCTTACCACCCATAAACCCCTGCTTCCCTTATTGCTAGACATGATTCACGTACGACCCTCTAAGCTTGTAATGTGAAATCGATCTCCATGACGAGATAACTGAAATCAATCTGCCTGCCATTACAGAATAGTCAAATTCGAATTTTAATGAAATTTCACAATTTTTTAAAATAAAAATCCCCCGGTTTTATCTTTAAAAGAAATACGACGGTTTATAAATAGAGATTACATTTTCGTCTATGACTATTGCTAAGGAAATCGATAGTCATCAAATTCAAACAGTGCTAGGGTTAAATCAGAAATAGTTATGGCAAAATTGAACTTCGGTATATGCAGATTAAAAAGTAATGGACCCGGATTAAAAGAATAGTACTTGTAGAAAATGGAAATTTTGTAGTTTATCTATTAATAACAATATGTTGGCGTAAGAGATTATGTTAACAATAAAATACACAAACATTTATATATCATGAGCTTTGTACCAAGAAGAAAGCCCGTTATGAAATGGACGTATTTTGTAAATTGATTTTTTTTTGCAGACTAGATGTTGTGCTTCTCTTATGTAAGAACTTACAGATTTACTATCAATAAAGACAAGTTTGATATAAGCCTCGTTTGGGGTTTTATATACTAAAATACTTACCCTCCTAACAAGCCCCCCCCCCCCAACCATTAGCAATTGTTATTAAAAAATGTTAACAGTAATAAAAATTCAATTAAATTACCTGTGATGCCAGTTGCCTCCCCATTGTCCAAGACCGTCCCATAGTACCCGCCATCATCGACAGACACGAACTGGTAATCGAACCCCAGCGAGTCAGCTACCGTGTTCAGCAGGGCTACACTGTAACCATCGTACACCGTCTGGTTACCCACAACCGACCTGGTGAGAAATTTCTCTTCCTCCTCGCTCAAAATGGCCACCGGAAGCGTCATGTCCGCCAGAAGGGACTTCCGGGTGTGAAGGTAAAGCAAGGCCGATTGTCTGAGTGACGTCACTTCCTGTTTCACGAAACACTTGTTTTTGTTGTCTTTGGTGAGTACTTTATTCCCACCGTCGACAGCTTCTAGAAAGATGGCGTCGGTGTTTAACTCTTCCGCAGTGCAGGATGACTTAACTGTGACTTTAATGACGTCATGTAAGTCATCTAGCCTTGACTTCTGGACTATCCCGACCTCGTCTAGACCTGAACTGGACACGACAGTCACAAAATCAATCCCGAATTGACGTTTCATTCTAATCCCCTCCACAAACATCGTCGAATTGCTGACAAATGTCCACTCCGTCGTATGCAGGAACGGACGTCCATTTAAAATTCCTCTCCGAAACCAAGATCTCCACCAACATCGTTAAAAAACTCGCGTTCCCGGAAAACACCACCATGTTGGCCACGCGTGGGTTGGTCGCCATGGTAATTAAAGTCTTATTCGTCTGCTCCGCCGTGGAAGATTCGCTGAGCTCCGTGTAGACGACCTTAGTGGCCAGCTTCAGTGCCAGAACTTTCTTCTCGAAGCTGACCATCGGCTGCCAGGTTGACGGGTGGAACACCAGCAGCAGGAGGTTGTCGCTCTGTCTGGCATGGAGATGAGGCGATGGCGTGTTCTGCCTGAGGAAAATCTGGCTCGTGATCGACGCCAGCGCCTGCCACGCCCTCTCGATTTTCTTGACGTTTTCTTCAACTGCAGATGGGGTCTCTTGTTGCCTCTGACGTCAGTTTGGAACGTGCGCGTCATAATAACAAACCGGAAGCTCGTCACTAAAAACAACAAGGTCAACGAATCCACCATAAGAGTTACTCGGCGAAAAAGCATCACTCCTGCACTTACTTTATTCGACACGTTTTATAATTTTTTTTTGTATAATACTAATTTTAACTTAACACTTAATAATTCTTTAATTATTTTGTTCTGCGTTAGAAATATAAAAATATTTAAGCTTAAGTACCAAACTGGTTTAAATAATGTATCATTTTTCGACGTTGTCTAAAATCCAAATTAAAAACATACGGCTTCAAAACATAGAACAGCTGCGAAGATTCTCCCATAATTATTATCCTGAAATGTTCTGATGTTTAACACAATTTTCACACACAATTCGTTCTAGTAATCGTGTATAATAATTAATATCATGTGGTATCTGCCTAGATTCACGCTGTCGCCATGGCAACAACCAATGAGACTCTCCGAACTTTTTTGTATCAGAGTATTTCATTGGTCAATACACTTGTTATAAATAGTGAC